GATTCAAACGTTAATTCACAGCTTTTTAACGAGTTTCCTCAAACCTCCTCGCTAGCATTGAGTCATGAGCAAATTCAATAATTTACTTCTGTTATCAGATTATACCTTGAGAATTGAAATGGTATCTCGAAGATGACTGCATTTTCTAATGGTTTACTTGACCTTGATTTTTTTTCCGTCACTAGATGGGTATCTGAAACTCGATCTCTGTAATGATGATAACTTGAGAACTTAGTCAAAATCTATTTTAAAAAGGTTGTGAGTGTTTTCTGCCGAGTCATTGAAAACCTAAGGGTGTCATTTATAATTAAAGATACCTCGGGTAATGAAAACAACTCAATAGAAGCGAAACTACTTTTATATCTTATTTATTCTATTTCACTGTCACGACGCTTTCGACATTGCTAATCCTAAGACGCTCGTCACACATGAAGCTCGTAAAGGTCCATTTCAACACGGTGTTTTCCGTAACTCACTGGTTAAATATTGAAGCGTGAAATTCGAAAGTCTGGGGTTCGGGTCCCTATGGGGAACTTTTTTCTTTACTCGTGTTCGAAAAAGAACGAAAACAATCTCTGCAAATTTATATAAAAAGGATTCATCATCCGTCATATTCTAAATTTTTTCATTTCCCTGAACTAAAAAAGTTACCATCTTTCATATTCTGTTTGTTTTCGTAAAGTTTCAATTGTTTACCCCTGGGGCCAATATAATTTATCTTAAATATGGAAAAAATAGATGGAAAAAGAGACAAGAATGATGATCATCAAACCCGTTTTATTGTCCGGGCTCGACGCAAACGCTAGTAACTTAAGTGCAAGAGAGGCCGGAAAATTGCATACCTATAAAAGAGCCTCGCTTGCAATACAAGAGTGGAAAACTGCCTCGAGCTGATCAGAGTTAGAGGTGATTATACCAGGAAAAAGAGAGAGGTACTAAGTCAGCATCTGATGAATTCCAGGGAGTAGAAATGGGCAAACCTAGCGTCACGTATCGGTTGAGATTTTTGTTGATTCGCGTAATTACTGGGAATTTTTTCCATTTTGTTCCCGTTTTTTCTCCCTCCAAAGAAAAACAACTTACTGATCCAATTTATGCTTTAGTTCATTCTACTCACTTTCATTTCAAAACTCGTGCTGATCTTTCAATCTCAGGTTGTCTTCTTGTTGTACAACGCCGTTTACAGTTTCTTTCCCAGTTTCGTGAGTAGTATTAATACACTGCTTGTTAATTGAGCTATCATCTGTTATCTTCTGACCTGACTTTAAAAGTTGCACCACTCTGTTATCTTGGCATCAAAAGGATTGATAGGCAAACTGTAAACGATAAGAAAAATAAAAGAAATTTATACCAACTCGGAAGAGTTCCGCCATGCTGCGGCAGTAATGCAGCGACATGACCTTTTAATTGCATAAAACAATTTTTATAATATTTTGACAATCTTTCAATAATGTGAGATACTTCATAAAATAGAACACTCCCACGATATGGAGTTAACGAACAGAGATCTGCCTACAAAAAAGAAAGCTTTGAAAATTCCAGTCATCGATGAAGAGCCTACGCTTGGAACATTTTTGAAAGATTTTGTGATTAAAAAAAATCAATAACGGCAACAAAAAAGTAGAACACCCCCACAATATGGAATTAGCGAAAAGTGCTCTGTCTACAAAAAAGAAAGCTTTGAAAAAATTCCAGTGATCAATGAAGAGCCCACGCTTGGAACATTTTTGAAAGATTTTTTGATTAAAAAAAATCAATAACGGCAACAAAAAAGTAAATGTATTAAGAAAAATTAAATGGTATTAGGCCTCAAATATGGCCTCCAGTATACTAAACATTTGATAACTTTCCCTGATCTTCATTTATGTTGCTTTTCTTTTATTCAAGATCATCAGACTTTGATGACGAGACAGTTCGAGCCATTTCCTTACATGAAAAATTAATGTTGCCCACAAGATGAAAATGATTATGAAACTTTCTAACTAAAAGCAGATAGAATTTTTCCTATCACCACATTTATAAATCAAATACGTGTAAAACAAAAAATTCCTTACAGATTATTGACAAAAGAGGGATAAGATAAGTTGGAGAAATGTCGAGTTGGCCTGAAGAAACTGATTTCCAACTGCATTATACCCTTAACGCACGATCAAAAGATATGGCCAGATCAATTATTAAAACTAAAATAATTTCATCTATTATGAACTCAGTGAAGGCTGAATATAGAGGATAAATATTCAATCTAGCGAAGTAACTTGAAGCCTTTTCCTCGGATCACACCGTTGTTGGCCACAAAAATGCTGAGGAAACTTGAACTGAAGTATGAAATCGGGGTAAAGCGTTATTACGGCTTCAGCAGCACCAGTTCTCTCTCGATAAATATCCTCTTGCCCGCTGTATATTACTACTTTGACGAGGGGTCCTTAAACTAATAAAAAAAAGTGTCAATCGTTTTTAAACATTTTTCTATTGATTTACAATGAACTAACATTTAAGCACCCTAAAATATTGCAGGCAACCCATGCTAAAAGGGTTATAAAGAATCTTAACCACAACACTTATGAATTTTATTATATTTTTGAAATCCACTATTGATCAATAAAGCTCTACATTAGGATGTTGCATCATATTTTAAGTGCAATTAGTATTTGAAGTATATATAGTGCCTTCAAAAAAAATTGTTAAAACTGTTTGAGAATACATGAATTTATTGAATACAAAATAACTCAGAATATATTTGGCTTACACAAGGAAAAATTTCTTATGATATAGTTAAGGAAGAAAGGTCGCAAAGAGTAATTTACCGATGAAATGAAATCAACATGATCTATCTTGTAGCTTATTCTGGAAGCTTCTCTCTCTTACATAAAATATCGAGATAGAAATGTAGTTGATCTGCATTTGTTTAACATCATGAAGTTAGTATGGCCACTGGAAAAGCTTATTTTTCTTTCAGCTAATCTATTTTACCAAATCAAAAGAGACAAATTTGTGCACATTCTTTTCAAAGGATATTAGCCGAAGACGTGACTGCATTTAATTAAACATTGATTTACGAGTAAATTATGCTTTAGGTTATTGAAAAATTCTTTAATCTAGAATAAATGAAAGGCGAAAATATGATTCAATTTGTTATTTAGTTCACAATCAGGTCGCTATCCTGTTGGCTTTGGAGATCAAACTCAAATTTACAATTCTGGTCAAGTATGACTTTCACTTCAAAAGCGCGGATAAACATGTCAAGCCCAATGGGAGCTTAAAAAGCTCTACAACAAACGCTGGCGGCAGAAATGTTACAATTTCATTTCATTCAAAGGCTGACGGAGTCAACCTTTTTGTATACTGCCCAGGATCTTGCTAACTCAATGCAATACCTACGTTGTGAGGAACAGTATACACGAAAATGAAAGACAACTCTGAAATATTCTTTAAGTCCTGTGCTTCAGGATTCAGTGCCGATAATCAGCTAGATGTGCGCTGATGATAATACTTGCCTGCCCTCATTTCCGTTTGCACAAGCAATTAAGTTCTTGTCAAATGGAACATTTTGCATACACAATATTTGGATTCGGGAGAAACCTGAATGTTTATTGTTGTAACGAATTTGTGGCAGGATTTCATCTACGACCTGCCTTTGTTTTTTACTTCCATAGAAATTCTAAAAATTAGTCTTTTTCCGTAGTTATTCTGGTACGGTGTTTTATTAAAAGTTACCTTCCATGGTTTTACTCACTGAACATGCATGAGATTCGGAGATATCAAATTTTGATCATACTGGCATATTCTGTACTGATGTATATAATCATGATCGCAGACATAATGTCGGTTTTCTAAGAGATTTCAATCTCACGTTTTATGCAGAAATCCTTGAACGCAAGAGCCTAATTTGTAAAGGATATGACGCATATTTTAAAGCAAATCTCACGAGAGGTTTACCATTACGCTGTGAAATTGCTTAACTGCCTTGAGGAGATTGTTTCCGAGTTAATTCTAAGCTTCCTTTTACGCTATTTTTTTCAGTAGTTAAATCGCGAATAAAGAGTCTTTCTAATTCAGTCTGAAAACCGGTAATCATTTGAAGATTTACATTTTAAACTAATCAAGTTCTGGAGAGGAAAGCATTTCACATTCGACTGTTAACTGAGAAGCTTTGAATAGGACAATTCGTTTACAAACAATTTTCAAGACCGGCTCAGTGATCAGAGCCTCTTTTAGAGTTTAGTGCGTATAATTTCATGAGCATTTTGAATATATGAACACCAACATAGCCTTCTAATAAATATTTTTCGTCACTTTGATGCTTTTGAGAGGAAAGATGGTAAACTAAAATTAAAAATAAACGCACGATAAAATGAAACAGCTGCCATATTTATTGAAATTTAAACGTTTCCTGACGACACGTAACAAAGATGGAATCTTGTAGATAATAATTTTTTGTAATATGGATTTGCGATAAACGTTTAGGAAAAAGTTAAGAATCATTGAATTGTCGATGACAGAAAAAGTCTCGCAAAAGGGTGTCAATAGTTTATTTCCCGTGACACGACAAAGGCAATATAGAGTCAAATTAGCTTTGAACAATACAGAACAAGGAATGTTTGCAGAGATTCAATTTAGCTATTATCTTTGTATAACCAAATTTTCACTTTATGCAGGCGTTGTAAAATAATACTTCCTCGGCAAAAGAAAAGAAAAAAATTATTCGTCCTTTTTTCGGTGTGAAACTGATCGCATGATAGTTTTGACGCCTTTAATAAATTCAAGATTTAATCTCAACATAAAACGAATGCAATTAAATAACTCAAACCGCAACGCATCTAGAGGTAAATTTATTTTCCTTTTACGAATTTAGGCTTTTAAATTGGCCTATTGTCAACACAAGCTTAGGACATGTTGTCTTATCAGTAACACTACCTCTGACACGATATTTACTTGACAGGCAAGGTGAATTCCGAAGCCTTTTTCGCTGTCAAAAATTCTGCATAATCATTGTTCGCACTACGGATGTTATCAAAGCAAATTACGTAGTACCATTTGGGGGCAATTTTCACCCTTTTAAACTGTCTAATGTGCTTAGACGAACCACATTACTAGTAGCACTGGCCATATAAGCAGCTCAATAGGATTGCGGAGTTGCATTCAGATCAACGGGATTTAACAAGAACACAATTTATCAGACATATTTCCCGGTAAGAAATTTTCCTTTTTATGATGATTTGAATAGCGTCGGTTTGTTAGAGGCTAACCGCCTAGGCAAGTGTTTTTTTTCCTGTATTTTTTTCACTTCTTCTCTTAACCGTTTTACAATCAATTCAAGGCATGTTCATGTTCAGCTTTAAGTGTTTCAACGACAGGAACCAAGGTGTCATCTCGCTAGAATTTCAAACGCTTGCTTACAATTTCTCTTTTTCAAGAATCGTATAGTCCACATACGAATATTTCATCATTAACCCTGGATTCAAGAAATCTTTCACTGAAAATAAACAAAGGACTGATATCGAAGAGAGCCTCTAAAATAGTTTATACATCCATTTAATATGAAATGTCTCAATCGAAAGTGTCTTAAATTTTGGATTTGTGAAAGCACCATTTCCTTAAAAGGGCAAATTATTGGTGAAATATTTCTCGTGCTCTTAAGATTTTAGTAGACTTTTCCCTTTCCTGTTCATCTTTTCTATTTCAGCCAACCAAAAAGATGGAAACCAAGAGCCTCGTAGCCTTGTTTCTTGTTTCGTGCATTTTTGTCTCTGTCTGTTTTCAACCCGCCGCCTCTCAAGGTCTTCGATGGGGAAGAGAATATGAAGAGGAAGAAGAAAACCATCGAGTGAATCCAGTGAAAGCCGATTATCTCAGGCGCAAAGAGATGCACAGAACATTTGAAGATGCCGCAGATGAGGGTAAGAAATTACAAAAAAAAGACTGAAGAAAGTGAAAGAAAAAAACTAGCGCCGAACAACATTGGTAGTGGGAATGAAACGCCTGGTTCCTTAAAATATAAAACGCAAGAGTGTGGTAACTAAAATTCCCCAGTCGCCTCTTCATGGTTTGATCATTGCCATCGTTAACCACTCACTCACCCACTCACCCTAAACCATCTTCATCGATCCCCCTCCCTCGTTCTCTTGTGGTTTGTTTTTATCTCCTTTGCGTTTCTCTTTCCAAGGAAACTGTTATGTTAAGTTGTCATTTTATATGAAGGAAATTATCTATAACTCTAAATATAGTGACGTTGAAATATTCAAAGAAAAAGAGAAAAAGTAAAAGAAAAACTGAAAAACTTCGCCTACTCTGACATTTGCTGGGCGTTCACTTCGGTTAAACGATGAACGGACTGATAGTCGATCATTGCAGTTTAGCACTGATATAGGCATCAAAACACAATACTAAGAGAAAATCGGCCTTATAGTGTTGTTTTCAAACAGTTCGTTTGATGTCGTGTTTGACTTACTACGATAATAATGGTGCTGACGATAACAAAAAGGTTCAGTAAATTTTAGTAATCTCATAAAGAATTATTTTTGCATTGTAGCCAACTTTGATTATAACAGACGCTGAGTTCTATTGGAATATCCTACACACCCAAACGGACTGGACTGGACATTTGATTGAATCACTGAGCTTTCGTAGCCCGTTACTATGGGAAAATTTACTTTTAATTGATGCATAATTATTATTTAGTAGAGGAGATAAGTTAAGCTTGTAAAATGAAATCATACAGCAATAAAACGCAATCTGAACGATGTCAGAATAAAAAGGAACCAGACTTTTATGTAATGATAGCTAAAACCCGTGCACAAAGAAGGGAGAGAATCACGGTTATTTGGTCAATAAACGTCTGAAATCTTCGAAGCTTTCGAGAGAAACATTTTGTTTAAGCCATAACCGTTAAATCACAACTATTGTCCCTTACTTCACAGTATATGAAGCTCGTTAAGTGGGTGACCGCAGTGGGTCATTTAGGAAAATTTGATAACAACTCACGTGTGGCGTGCCTATTTACACCTCTCGGCAAAAAGACACCGTGGGAGTAAACTATTTGACAACGGGTGTTAGCCACAAAACACACTGAGATAACAAATTATATGATGAGGTTCTGTTGCCTTGAGGCTATTAAATCTCTCAGAGTGAGTAGCGGTGCTTAAGGGTACAACTCGGCACTTTGCTTCTGATTGTGGTGTTTTGGCATTAAGTATGCAAATTATACATAGACCTGGCCGATTGCATCTCATCCTGCTTTCATCGACAGAGATCTGCTTGCAGAGAGTTTTGATTGTTAATCAGTGGCGCAAACATGAAAATGAGAGCAGTGCTAATTTGCCAAAGCAACTGTACATGGTTTCGCAATAAGCATTTTTTATTTAACTCTTGATTGAAGCAATCACTAGCGAAAAAAACTATAAGGTACCGACTACCGAAAAATTGGACAATTAAACACAAAGATAAAGATAGGTAGAGAGACAGAAAAAAAAAAATGTTTAAACCGTCAAAGATGATGCGAGCATCAGATTTCAAGCGTAGACACCAGTTGACAAAAACTCAAACGAAAGAAAAGCTGAGTATATAATAAATACGAGATCAATTTTCAAAACACCCAAAGCAAGTATATCTCTGAAAAAATTCTATTTGTTGCGCAAAGCAAAAATAGAGTCATCAATTCTTAACTAAATTTCAGTTCAACTAGCTCAATTTTCATCAAATAGTTCAAACTCAGCTAACTTGGTTCCCGGGGTCAAGTCAGTTTCATATTAGCATCATATTGATAAGCTTTGAGTAAAGAAGCTCAGGTGCATTATTTCCAAATAAAAAGTCAGCATGATTCCAGCCTTGAATCTCTTAAGATCTCTCTCTCTGAAGTATTTCAAGTTAGTTATCCGGTCTTTTAGAAGTCGTACATCTGTCGAGCTGGCAAGTTTGTCATTTGAACCCGAGAAGAGAGCGGTTGGAGTCTTCGTGTCTTCTTCATGGTACTCTGGAGCTTCAAGCTGATTTAAAAGACAAATGGCATGAAATTGAGTAAGGAACAGAAGGTAACAAACGAGTGCCCGACTGCAGGTGACTACTGAGCCGGTCAACCGACTCATTGACCAACAGATCAATCAACTCATTGACCGATTTACCACCTGGATAGAAAGTATTGAATGGTGGTTTTCTGACGAATTGACTAATTCACTGATTTCCAAGCAAAACTCTTAATAGAATGAACAATCTTCTGGGTGTATGGGCTTCCTAGCTGACCTTCCTCTCACCCTCTTGTGCTCTCCCCCACCCCCCCCCCCCCTCCATGAATGCTTGGGTAGGCCGGCTCTCCGGCTTGCTAACTAACTGACGGTCTGGTGGACCTAGGCATACGATTACAACTGACAATGCCTCAAAACGAGCCTCTCATGAGTTACTGAAACAGTGGTAATAAATACCTGGCCGTAAGTTCTATAATTGGAGAAGAATCCATAATCATACTTGGCACATTTCTTTGACAACACCATCTGAAATAAAACATAGATAACGGTATTTCCATAAATAGGAAACAACTATCCACATCGGCCATAGCAGCTGTTATAAACAAAGATCTAAATAGTAATTTGGAAACAGTTTTTACAATTTTATAATAAAAGCTACATTATTTCCGTCGAGTTAGCTATTTAGTAACACCAAGAGCCACCGTTTGAAACAGTGTCTGCAGCACATTGTGAATATTACGGCGCACAGTCGAAGTGTAGGAAGCGTCACCGTAGTAAGCAGTCACTCTGTATCAAGCAGTTGGTTGCCAAAGTCCCGAATGTGTTTCTCCTTATTCACTGTAATTTTCACCTCTATTAAGCGGTCACGGTCACCTTTTACTAAGTCTTAATGGCCTTGTTTTCATTGTCCACCGCATTTATTGAAAGGTCACTTAAAGCTGGACCACTCAAATAAAACTAAGAATAATCTTTCAGTTTATTTTCATTCCACAGCTCCGACTGGAGACCCTTTGGAGCACGAAACGCGGGAGAAAAAATTAATTCTGAATCTTTTACACCCTAGCATCAGTATGCATATTCTTCATACTGTTCTCATAGCATTTCCTAAGGCTCTGACGAGGAGAATTTGTTAAAGAAACAATAATATCTTTAATTAGTGATTATTTCCGTTATTCTCGTGACCTGTCTAATATGTTTAGACGAGCTACATTACTAGTAGCACTGGCCATATAAGCAGCTCAATAGGATTGCGGAGTTGCATTCAGATCAACGGGATTTAACAAGAACACAACTTATCAGACATATTTCCCGGTAAGAAATTTTCCTTTTTATGATGATTTGAATAGCGTCGGTTTGTTAGATGCTGACCGCCTAGGCAAGTGTTTTTTTTTTCCGTATTTTTTTTCACTACTTTTCTTAACCATTTTAAAATCAATCCGAGACATGTTCATGTTCAGCTTTAAGTGTTTCAACGGCAGGAACCAAGGTGTCATCTCGCTAGAATTTCAAACGCTTGCTTACAACTTTTCTTTTTCAAGAATTGTATAGTCCACAAACGAATATTTCATCATTAACCCTGGATTCAAGAAATCTTTCACTGAAAATGAACAAAGGACTGATATCGAAAGCAGCCTCTAAAATAGTTTATACATCTATTTATTGTCAAATATCTCAATCGAAAGAGTCTTAAATTTTTGATTTGTCAAGCACCATTTGCTTAAAAGGGCAAATTATAGGTGAAATATTTCTCGTGCTCTTAGGATTTAGTAGACTTTTATCTTTCCTTTTCATCTTTTCTATTTCAGCCAACTAAAAGATGGAAACCAAGAGCCTTGTAGCTTTGTTTCTTGTTTCGTGCATTTTTGTCTCTGTCTGTTTTCAACCCGCTGCCTCTCAAGGTCTTCGATGGGGAAGAGAATATGAAGAGGAAGAAGAAAAGCATCGAGTGAATCCAGTGAAAGACGATTATCTCAGGCGCAAAGAGATGCACAGAACATTCGAAGACGCCGCAGATGAGGGTAAGAAATTACAAAAAAAAGACTGAAGAAAGTGAAAGAAAAAAACTAGCGCCGAACAAGATTGCCAATGGGAATGAAGCGCCTAGTTCCTTAAGATATAAAACGCAACATTGTGTGAACTAAAATTCTCCAGTCGCCTCTTCATGGTTTGATCATCGCCATTTTTAACCACTCACCCTAAACCATTTTCATCCATCCCCATTCCTCGTTCTCTTGTGGTTCGTTTTTACCTCCTTTGTGTTTCTCTTTCCAAGGAAACTGTTATGTTAAGTTGTCATTTTATATGAAGGAAATTATCTATGACTCAAAATATAGTGACGTTAAAATATACAAAGAAAAAGAGAAAAAATAAAAGAAAAACTGAAAACGTCGCCTACTCTGACATTTGCTGAGCATTCACTCCGGTTATACGATTAACGGACTGATGGTCGATCAGTGCAGTTTAGCACTGATACAGGAATTAAAACACAATTCTAAGAGAAAATCGGCCTTTTAGTGTTGTTTTCATGCAGTTCGTTTGATGTCGTGTTTTACATACTAAGATAATAATGGTGCTGACGACTACAAAAAGGTCTAGTCAGTTTTAGTAATGTCATGAAAATTTATTTTTTGCATTGTAGCCGACTTTGATTATAACAGACGCTGAGTTCTACTGGAATATCCTACACACCAAAACGGACTGGACTGGACATTTGATTGAGCTTTCGTAACCCGTTACCATGGGAAAATTTACTTTTAATTGATGCATGATTATTATTTAGTAGAGGAGATACGTTAAGCTTGTAAACGAGTTCAAAAATCATACAGCAATAAAACGCAGTCTGAACGATGTCAGAATAAAAAGGAACCAGACTTTTGTCTAGTGATAGCTAAAACCCGTGCACAAAGAAGGGAGAGAACCACGGTTACCAGGTCAATAAACGTCTGAAATCTTCAAAGCTTTCGAGAGAAACATTTTGTTTAAGCCATAACCGTTAAATCACAACTATTGTCCCTTACCTCACAGTATATGAAGCTCGTTAAGTGGGTGACCGCAGTGGGTCATTTAGGAAAATTTGATAACAACTCACGTGGGCCTAATTACACCTCTCGGAAAAAAAGACACCGTGGGAGTAAACTATTTGACAACGGGTGTTAGCCACAAAACACCCTGAGATAACAAATTATATGATGAGGTTCTGGTGCCTTGAGGCTATTAAATCTCTCAGAGTGAGTAGCGGTGCTTAAGGGTACAACGTCGGCTCGGTGTTTTGGCATTAAGTATGCAAATTAAACATAGATCTGGCCGATTGCCTCCCATCCTGCTCTCATCGACAGAGATCTGCTTGCAGAGAGTTTTGATTGTTAGTATGGCGCCAACATGAAAATGACAGCAGCACTAATTTGCCAAAGCAACTGTATATGATTTCGCAATAAACATTTTTATTTAACTCTTGATTGAAGCAATCACTAGCGAAGAAAAGCTATAATGTCCTGACAACCGAAAAATTGGACAATTAAACACAAAGATGAAGATAGGTAGAGAGACAGAAAAAAAAATGTTTAAACCGTCAAAGGTGACGCGAGCTTCAGATTTCAAGCGAAGACACCATTTGATAAAAACTCAAAGGAAAAAAAAGCTGAATATTTAATAAATACAAGATCAATTTTCAAAACACCCATAGCAAGTATACCCCTTAAAAATTCTATTTGTTGCGCAAAGCAGAAATAGGGTCATCAATTCTTAACTAAATTTCAGTTCAACCAGCTCAATTTTCATCAAATAGTTCAAACTCAGC